GGCCAACAGACACATGAAAAAATGTTCAAGATCACTAGCAATCAGGGAAATGCAAATCAAAACCACAATGAGGTTTCACCTCACTCCGGTTAGAATGGCTCACATACAGAAATCTACCAACAACAGATGCTGGAGAGGATGTGGGGAAAAAGGGACACTAACCCACTGTTGGTGGGAATGCAAACTGGTCAAGCCACTATGCAAGTCAGTCTGGAGATTCCTCAGAAACCTGAAGATAACCCTACCGTTCGACCCAGCCATCCCACTCCTTGGAATTTAACCAAAGGAATTTAAATTGGCAAACACAAAAGCTGTCTGCACATTAATGTTTATTGCAGCTCAATTCACAATAGCTAAGACCTGGAACCAACCCAAATGCCCATCAAAAGTAGACTGCATAAAGAAATTATGGGATATGTACTCTATAGAATACTGTACAGCAGTCAAAAACAATGAAACCCGGTCATTTGCAACAAAATGTAGGAATCTGGAAAACATCATGCTGAGTGAACTAAGCCAGTCCCAAAGGGACAAATATCATATGTTCTCCCTGATCAGCAACAACTAACTGAGCACCAAAGGGGAAACCTGTTGAAGTGAAATGGACACTATGAGAAACAGTGACTTGATCAGCTCTTGTCCTGACTGTTGATGTACAATGTAATACTTTATCCATTTTAGTATTTTTTTTGTTCTAGTACTATTGGTTGACCTCTGAAAGTAACACACAATTATTCTTAGGTGTTTAAATTTTAACTGAAAAGTGATCCCTCTTAGCAATTTGGAAAATATTATGCTGAGTGAAATAAGCCAGTCCCAAAGGGACAAATACCACATGTTCTCCCTGATAGTGACAACTAACTGAGCACCAAAAAGGAAACCTGTTAAAGTGAAATGAACATATGAGAAACGGTGACTTTATCAGCCCTTGCCCTGACTGTTGATGAACAACTTAATACGTTATCCCTCTTAGTTTTTGTTTGTTTGTTTGTTTGTTCTACTTAATACTTTTGGTTGAATACTGTAATCAATACACAGTTATTCTTAAGTACTGAAACTTAACTGAAAAGTGATCGCTGTTAAATGTAAGAGTGGGAATAAGAGAGGGAAGAGATGTGCAATTCGGGACATGTTCAAGCTACTTGCCCCAAACGGTAGAGTTAGAAACATACCAGGGGATTCCAATTCACTCCCATCACGGTGGCATGTACCAATGTCATCTCACTAGTCCAAATGATCAATTTCTGTTCACAATTGATCATAATGATAGGACTAAGAGCCAAAGGGATCACATAATGTCTGCAAATACTAGCTGATAGAATCAAAAAGGGAGAGAATGATCCAACATGGGGAGTGAGATACACAGCAGAGTCATAGAATGGCAGATGTCCTAAACAGCACTCTGGCCTCAGAATCAGCCCTTAAGCAATGCGGATCTGGCTGAAAAGCCCATGAGAGTATTTCAGGCATGGAAAGCCAAGACACTCTGGCAAAAAAAAAAAAAAAAATGACCTAAATGAAAGATCTCCGCGAGTGAGATCCCAGTGGAACGAACAGGTCATCAAAGAAGGAGGTACCTTTCTCTGAAGGGAGTAGAGAACTTCCACTCTGACTACCACCTTGTCTAAATATGATCAGAGTCAGTGAACTCAAAAGGCTCCCATAGTCTTGGCAACTCATGATTAGAGCCTAGGGTGATTACTGAGGCCTTAAACAAGAATGTCAATTTGTTAAGTGAACAACAGGAGTCACAGTGCACGTACTCCTTATGTAGGATCTCTGTCCTTAATGTGTTGTGCAATGTGAATTAATGCTATAACTAGTACTCAAACAGTATTTTTCACTTGGTGTTTCTATGTGGGTGCAAACTGTTGAAATCTTTACTTAATATATACTAAACTGATCTTCTGTATATAAAGAGAATTGAAAATGAATCTTGATGTGAATGGAAGGGGAGCGGGAGCGGGAAAGGGGAGGGTTCCAGGTGGGAGGGAAGTTATGGAGGGGGAAGCCATTGTAATCCATAAGCTGTACTATGGAAATTTATATTCATTAAATAAAAGTTAAAAAAAATTTTAAAAATAATAGAAATAAAAAATAGTGACTGCTGAAATGAAGGCAATAAAAATAAATATTATGAAATAAATCATAAATGTAAAAAAAAAAATACTTGAAATATATCACGCCATTGTCTCCTTGCCTGTAGTGTTTGTGATGAGAAGTCTGGGTTGAGTCTGATTAACTTACCCCTGAATGTGTTTTGTCGTTTCTCTCTGTCACATTTTAGGATTTGTTCTTTGTGTGTCACTGAGCTGCGTCTTGCCACAATGTGTCACGGTGAATTTCTCTTCTGGTCTATCCTGTTGGAGTCCTGGCTATCTGCTGGGTTTGTCTGTTATCCAGCTGCCTTTGTTTGAAGTTTTCTGATATTATTTCATTGAAAACACCTTCCAATCCATTCTCTCTTTTCACCCCCTCGGAGACTCCTATTATCCGAACATTACACCGTTTGATTGAATCTTGCAGGTCTCCGACCGCATTTTTTAATTTCTTCTTCCTGCGTTTGAACTGACTGTATTGTTTCTGGAAGTTTGTCTTCAAATTCTGATATTCGCTCTTCTATTTCATCTGTTTGATTTCCAAGGGATTCCACGGCGTTTTTTATATGGTCAATTGAGTTTTTCATTTCCAGTATTTCATTCTGGCTTCTCTTTAGGATCTTTAATCCTTGGGCTTGTTTTTCGTTCAGCTCTCAAATCTGTTTCTCATTATTTTTAAGTAATCTGGTTATTAATTTTCTGAATTCTTTTTCTGGCATGGTTTCAAATTCTTCTTCTTCAGCCTCTGTTATGGTTGGTTTAGCCTGCTCCATTGGCAAGTTTATATGTTCTTCTATATTCTTATTGTGAGTTTTTGTTTTGTTTTTCAGCATTCTGTTTGGTTTATTTTTCAGGTTGATTTCCCTCTGCTACAGGCTGCTGTGGGTCTGTACCAATATCCAGTGTAAGCAAGCTGCTCTACCTTATTTTTTACTTATTTATTTATTATTTTTTTTGTAACTTGAGTGGGTTGGTGTCAGGGCTTTGATGTGCCAATCTCCACCCTTGGAGGCTGGTTTCCCTGTTCCTATGTTCCCCTTTATGTGTCTGTGCTTGGTTTTCATTTGTCAGCCACTCTCCCTCACAGTTCCTTCAGTGCAACCACCTTTGGACTCCACCCCTGTTGCTTCCTCCTTCTGAGCTGAGACCAGCCTCTGTTAAGCTGGAATGTAAACAAGCAGGATGGCTGCTCTCTGCCCACTGCAGCTCTGATTGTGTGGAGGATCCTGGCGTTTTTTAATCCCTCAGTTCATCTCCTCTTCCTGCGGGCACTATTCGATTTTTTTTTTTTCTTCTCGTAACTTGAGTAGGCTTGTGAGCTGCCCTACCCCACTGTGCCCATCCCCAGCGTAAGGAGTGTCTTATCGCTCCACTCCACCTTTGGACTCCACCTCTGGAGGTTAGTGCTGAGGCAGAGGCAGTTCACCTTTAAGCCCAAATGTAAACAAACAAGATGGCTGCTTCCTGCCTGCTGCAGCTCCGATTTGGGGGAGGGTGGAGGCAACAAGGGAACCTGGTGTGTTTAGTCCCTCAGTTCATCCCCATGAATCGTGCACTCTTTCTGCAGGCACTACTCTGTGCTGTTTTCGATTTCCTCCACCACTCAGTCATGCATTTCTCACTGTCCATCCCAGGGTGGCTTGGGGGGAGGGGCAGCAGTGGCTGGTGCAGCCCAGCGAGCACCCTGCCTCACCTCAACTTCTAGCGCTGGTGCATACACACTCCTGCTGGTGTCCTGCGCTTCAGGCGTCCTCCTTGCAGGTCCACCCGGTCTCCCCAGTCTCAGAAGAATTTCCCTTTCCCCAAAACTACAAATTCTCACCCTCTCTGTGAACTTTTCCTTCCTGGACCATCGGGGTGCTCCCTCCCTATTCCGCCATCTTCCAGGACCCCATTTAGTTCTACATTACAGCTTCCTGTGAACATGCATCCTAAGAAGCAGCTGGTGAGAGCCCAAGTACTTGAATCCCTGCCATCCACTTAGGATACCCAGACTGACTTCCTCACTCCTGGCTTTAGCTGTCACCTGCTGCTATTTGGATATTTGGGGAGTGAACCAGTGGTGAGGTGGGGGAATCTCTCTCTTTCTGTTTATCTGTTTCGCTCTCTGCCCTTCAATTAGTAAAATAAATTATAAAATAACATATTAAAACATGAGACTCCAACTCCTTCCACCCAACCCTTTTCTAAAGAGATTGAGACTCAGACTGGAGGAGTGAACTCACGCCCATGCTTCTGAGAAACTTCATTTCTCCATTTCACTTTATAAAATGTGTAAAGATGAGTAACAGGAATGGCTAGAAGGCAACCTCTGTAGGAAGGAGATTCAGAAGTCCTATGACCATATTTAACTGCACAGCATTCTGCTCCATCTGCCTTGAGAGTACACCAGGGCCACCTTTGGGTCAATGGTGGTTTCCACAGGAGGGGTGAGTCATTTGAAGAACTTGCCTGCCAAGGATGAGATTTGGAAGGAGACCCACAAGGCAGATACTATTAACACTCACCCTCCTGCATCAGCAGTCAGAGGCAGAACTTGTGAATCTTGGCCCCATGCTCACAGAGGCAAGTGGCTCTGAAGAATTCTGTGTGTGAACAGCCCAGGAAAGAGATTCTCTTTTGTTCAGGGCAAGTTTGATACTGAGGGAGCTAAAGCACAGACTCCAGGTGCCCTGATTCTGTGAAGCCATGAGTCATAGATCACGATTGTTGGCCAGGATGCCTTTGCCAGCTAAAGGACTGATAAATAGCATTGCTAGTGCCAGAGGTGCTGCCTGATAATATAAGCCCTGGTTTGTTATGTATTAGAAAATCCAAGAGACCTAATTAAAACTGAGAAGGCCTATATTTTCCCAGCATTCCCCCCAGAGATCAGGCTTTGCAGCCAAAAAATTTACTTACCCTGAATTTACAGCTTTGTTATCATATTGACTCTTCAGAACTATATCACTTTACATACATTTTTGTTTTCTTCCAAATGAGTCATGTCACAAACTAGAAAAGTGTGAAAATAAATGCTGGCATCCACAGCACCTGTCCCTTTCTGAAACACTATACATTTGTCCATTTGTTTCTTTTTCATGTTCTCTCCACAACACAAAAGCATACATGCATTCACCCACAAACATATGAATCTAAGCTCTAAAGAGCAAGGATTTTTTTTTCTTCAATACTATTATGCAACAATTAAGATGATATCTAGCATATTTATTAGATACCTAATAAATATTTAATAATGAAATAATTAATGAATAATTGTCTCTATCATTTCTGAAACCTATATTTGACCCTGCAAAAAATTATTGTCCTACAGGCAAAGGCTTATGTAACATCAGTGTTTTTATTTGTAGACCTGGATGTTGCACAGAAAAACATGTAGAGCATGCAGAAAATCGCTTCTGAAATTTCAGAGGCCACTGAAGAGAACTTCAGAGTAGAATTACTGAGCTCAGAGAAAGATTGCAATTTCCCTTCTCCCTGAATATCATATTGAGAACTGGAATAGACTCTTAAAAGATCTCAATGGCTCTGCCCACAGGAATGCAAGAGCATAACCTCAGATCAAAGGCAGCTTCGAATGATCATAGGAAGCTCTCAAATGAAAAAAAGTCAAGAATCTCCTTACTATAGGAGATAATCAGGAGCCACTCAAGACTTTTCTTTATTTTTTTGCACAAAATTGATCTAAGATTGATATGGTGGGCCCCAGGTGGAATGAGCTGAAGGACTCAATTATGTTTATAATTTACCTGTCCGACTGATTTTCATCAAAATGCCCTAAATTAACAGTGGCACTATGAGTTGTTCTCAGAAACAAACATATACAAGGGATACTACAAGAGAAGATTCATTGAAACTTCATAATTGGAATAAAATGGAGAAAACCCTTCAAAATGATAGTAACTTATAAAGTCTGACCCTGTGGCATAGCAGGTAAAGCCACCACCTGCAGTGCCAGCATCCCATATGGGTCAGTTCAGCTCCACTTCTGATCAAGCTTTCTGCTATGGCTTGGGAAAGTAGTAGAAGATTGCCCACGATGGTCCCTGCACCCAAGTGGAAGACCCAGAAGAAGTTCTTGGTTTCTAGATTCAGATCTGCCCAGCTCCAGTGGTTGCAGCCATCTAGGGAGTAAACCAACAGATGGAAGACCTCTCTCTCTCTCTGCCTCTGCCTCTGCCTCTCCCTCTCTGTAGCTCAGCCTTTCAAATAAATTTTTTTTAAAAGGGTTTTTTTAAATAGTAATTGGAGTAAATCACAGTGTTGCTCAAACAGAAATAACTCAAAAAATGAAAATACTGGTAAAAATTTTTAAATTCAGTTTGAACACTGTAAGCATGATGTGCCAAAATCATACAATAATTAAATACATAAATAAGTGTAAAGAGATAGTTAAAATGTGATAAAATCATACAGGGATTATTTCCATAGATATAATGTCATTCACCTTGGGTAAGTGTGTGCCCTAGGAGGTGAGGCATTTCACATCAGAGAACCTGAGTTTGACTCCCAACTCAGTCTTCTGACTCAAGCTTCCTGCTAACTCAGACTGGTGACTGTAGCATGGCTCAAGTAGTTGTAGTTGTTTTCCTGTCACCAAAATGGAAGACCTGAGCTGGGTTCCTCACTCCTGTCTTTCACCCCCCAACTAATGTGAGCCGGGAGTGAAGGGAGTGAACCAATAAATGGAAGTTCTTTCTTTCTCTCTCTCTCTCTCTACCTCTGTGTGTGTGTGTGTGTGTTTCTAATAAAAAAGTTAATAGATATTGACTAAAAAGGAAATTAGAATTTAGTGAGTTATGAGAAAATTAGAAAAAGAGTAGAGAGTGAGGGGGAATTGTGAAACCTCCCATTTTGTATTCTATAATGAAGATAATTTAAAACTCAGGGGCCAGCGCCATGGTGCAGTATGTTAGTCCTCCACCTGTGGCACCACCATCCCATATGGGCGCCAGTTCTGGTCCCTGCTTTTCCTCTTCTAATCCAGCTCTCTGCTGTGGCCTGGGAAGGCAGTGGAATATGGCCCAAGTGCTTGGGTCCTTGCCCCCACAAGGGAGACTGGGAGGAAGCACCTGGTCCCTGGCTTCAGATTGGCACAGCTCCAGCCATTGCGGCCATTTGGGGAGTGAACCAATGGAAGAAAGACCTTTCTCTCTGTCTTTCCTTCTCACTGTCTGCAACTACCTCTCAAATAAATAAATAAATAAATCTTTTAAAAATAATTAGCAAAATACATTCCAATTGGGACCCAAAATACCTGAAGGAAAATTTGAAATGTATCCCTGGAGATAGAAATTCCTTGCTATAGAAATTCCATTGCTATAACAATGAAGACCTTGGTGATTGATTAAAATGGATATTTTCTATGGAAATATTAAGACTTCATTTTTCTTAAAAGATTTATTTATTCATTTTAAAGTCAGAGTTACACAGAGAGAGGAGAGGTAGAGAGAGAGAGGTCTTCCATCCGACGGTTCACTCCCCAGATGGTCGCAATGGCCAGAGCCTTGCTTATCTGAAGCCAGGAGCCAGGAGTTTCTTCCAGGTCTCCCATATGGGTGCAGAAGCCCAAGTACTTGGGCCATCTTCTACTGCTTTCCCAGGCTGTGGGGAGCAACTCAGACGAGACTAAGTTACTGGAATTAAGACTTATTCTACGCATCTGCTCTCCCACAATATGGCGCTGAGAAGGGAGTAACAACTTCTACGCAGCTGCCTCTCGCCAACTTGAGTGATGACCTGCAGGAGCTGATCCTGCTCCTGATTGGAGGAGAGCAGCGTACTCGGCGTGTGGGTAGCAGAGTTGGGATTGGTGGAAGAGGACTATAAAGGAGGAGAGAGACAACATGCACCAGGAACATCTATCTGAAGGAACACCTGAGCAGCCCCCGAGAGAGCCGGCCGGCGGTGTGCCGCTCCCCCACGGAAGTGGGGAAAGTGGCAGGGGGAACCGCCCTTCCACGGAGGTGGAAGGGACGGTAGCCAACCCGGGAAGAACCAGCAGCAAACCCGGGGAGGGCCGAGCAAACAAAAGAACAACGCAGGGTCTAGTGTTGCTCCTCCACGAAGAGGGGGAGCGACATAATGGTGCCGTGACTTGGATATGAAGCCTAGAGGGTTTAGTGTCGTTCCTCCATGAAGAGGGGGAGCGACACCAGGCCATAGCAGAGAGCTGAATCAGAAGAGGATCAGCTGGGACTAGAAACGGCACCCATATGGGATGCTGGTGCTTCAAGCCAGGGCGTTAACTCACTGCACCACAGCACTGGCCCCAAGACCTCTTATTTAGGTGAAGAAAGAAGAAGAAACATTCCATAGAAGTTTATATTATACCAAATCACATTGCAAGAAGAGTTTACTCAAGGGTTCTAAGTTAGAACTCAGAACAAAAGTCATCATTATTTCAGTTTCAACATAACCAGGGTACCAACCAGCAGACATGGAATGAATGTAGAGAAATTGTAGGATTTTCTTTATGTTGCAAAACTATTTTACTCCCTTTCTTCCATGGGTTTAATGGTCAGATTAGCTTATGTCAAATTGTTGTCCTTTTCACTAAGCTGTACTACAGTTTCTTTCACTGATTCCTAAATTCTTTTTAAGGTGACTCAAATCCTATGTTTTAACCTGCCAATGTCAGTGGTAATGTAAGCGTTATGTTCCACTGTAATTTATCATACAGATACAGAAAAGGAAATGTATACTTTATCTGAACTGATTTTCAAATTACAAGATTATTTCACACTAAGCTAACTTTATAGAAACATTAGCTGGTATATTTTAAATAGGAATATGTAAATAAGATTATATATTATAACAGATTTTTCCAAGTAAAAATACATAAGACCCTCATTTTATGCATGTAAGCATTACTAATCTAAAAAAATCACATCCATGTTACTGTTGATTTTCTTTTTCCCTGCCTCCTCCACCCTGTCTTAATCCCTGGAAATCATTAATATTTTCTCCACTTTTGTACATTTATCATTCAAAAATGTTATATGCATTTCAACAAAAGCAAACTACATAAAAACTGTATGTTTTCTTTTTTGTTTATTTAAGTGTGTTTGTGATTGCTCATTGGAGCATATTTATAATGACCACTTTAAAACTGTCTTGTAATTCTGTCTCTGTCACCTTGGTCTTAGCATGTTTTTACTTTGACTTTGAAATCTTCCTCATTCTTAGTAAAACAAGTGATTGGTTTTGAAACCTGGATATTTTTGTATCTTGTATGAGACTGAATGTTATTTGAACTTTGTGGCTGGGAAATATGGAGACACCACCTCACAGCCCAGTAGAAGTCCAGTTTCCTGTTACTCCTAACTTATGCTTTGGGGAGCTAGAATTCAAGCCCCTCACAGGGCATCCACTCTCTCTGCAGTGTCTGTGCATGTATTAACTTCCATAAGTAAGAGAAAATGGGATATCTTTCTTATTTTTCTGGTTTATTTCATTCAGCATAATTATCTCTAGCTGCATCCATTTGGTTTTAAGTGTTGGATTTCATTCTTTTTGATGGCTGGGTAATATCCCATTAAGTATATACATACCACACTTTCTTTATCCAGTCATCTGTTGATGGACATCTAGGTTGGTTCCATATCTTAGCTATTGTGAATTGAATTAAACTACTGTAAACATGTGTGTACATACAATTCTTTCATATGCTGCTTTCATTTCCTTTGGATATATGCTCAGGAATAGGAAGGTTGGTCATATTATAGACCTACTTTTAGTTTTCTGAGGAATCTCTGTACTGTCTTCCTATGTTGTGGCAGTCTATATTCCCACCAACAGGGCATTAGGCTGTCTTTTTCTCCAAATTCTTGCCTTGAAGCATTTCTCCTTTGTTCCCCTCTAATAATTTAATGGCTTCAAGGCTTGGGTTTAGATTCTCGATATTTTAGTTGACTTTGTACAGGAGCTAAGTTAGGGGTCTCATTTCAAACTTTGCACATAGAAATCAGATTTTCCCAACCTCATTTGTTGAA